CAGTGTTGGGGCCATCCCTACTTGCTGTGCTACTAAGATTTAGGGAACATTCAGTGGCAGTCAGCAGTGACATTAAGGGGATGTTCCACCAAGTTCGTCTTCTTCCAGAAGACAAACCACTCTTGCGTTTTATCTGGAGAGACCTAAACATACAGGAACAACCCAGTGTGTACGAATGGCAAGTCCTCCCATTCGGCACTACCTGTAGTCCTTGCTGTGCGGTATTTGCACTCCAGAAACACGTCCTTGATCATAGCCGGCCAGGAGATGATGTCTGCAATTCGGTGCTGAGATCCTTTTATGTAGACAATTGCCTACAAAGTTTCACTTCAGCAGAAGTAGCAAAGTGTTTCGTTGACAGAATAAGGAACCTGCTGGCAGACGGAGGATTTGAGCTGAGGCAGTGGTCCAGCAATTCCCCTTCAACTATAAGTCACCTCCCTCAGGATGCCAGATCGGACGGTGCAGAACTCTGGATTTCACAAGGCCGTACAGACATCCAGGAATCAACATTGGGGCTCCTCTGGAACCATCAGTCTGACACAATATCCTATAAATACCGTGCCATGGACAGTACGGAGACTACCATGCGTAACATATACAGGATCCTAGCCAGCCAGTATGACCCGTTGGGCTACCTTATCCCTTATACCACTCGCGCTAAGATCCTCGTACAACGCCTGTGGGACAAGAAACGGGATTGGGATGATCCACACTTGCCCACAGATCTTCTACAAACCTGGATTGAATGGGAGGAGGAGCTACCAGCCCTACAGAATATCGTTCTTCCTCGGTGTTACTGTAGCCCCACCAAGGACACAGAAACGAGTTTTAGAGACATACACATTTTCTGTGATGCCTCTGAACGTGCCTATGGTTCTGTGGCATATCTTCGAACAGAGGACCAACACGGGCAGACAGAGGTAGCCTTCTTAACAGCGAGATCACGTGTAGCACCAAAGAAACAACAATCTGTTCCCCGACTGGAACTGTGCGCTGCACTGACAGGAGCTCAAATTGCCAAAGTACTCTGTAATGAGTTGAACTTGCCCATTCGTCAAACAATCTTGTGGACTGATTCTACCACAGTCCTCACATGGTTACAATCAGACTCTTGCCGATTCAAAGTATTTGTTGGTACTCGTGTATCAGAAATCCAGGACCTCACAGAACAACACAGCTGGCGATATGTACCCTCCGCAAATAATCCAGCCGATGACATCACTCGGGGATTAAGTCTGTGCGAGCTTGGTCCGGGAAGACGTTGGTACCAAGGACCACCTTTCCTAAAAGATCCCGCCAATCTGTGGCCTGAATGCCCCAGTCCAGTCGATGTAGACAATAATGAACTTCGCAAGACTGGCTCCAGTACTCTGGTCTGCTTCACCTCCTCTGATTTCAGTCAGTTCAAAACTCTCGAAGAGCTAATCGAGTCCACAGCTCGTCAAGAGGCCGTCGATGGTGAGCCCACAGCCAATGACTACAGAAATGCAGAGATTAGTGTTTTAAGGCAATCACAGCAAGAATGCTTTACATCAGAATTAGAACAACTACGGGCAGGTAAACCACTTTCAAGGAACAGTCGACTAAGCGCACTGGCCCCAGAACTTGATGGAGAAACCGAATTGATCAGAGTTGGCGGACGTTTACGGTATAGTCCATACCTTGAACCCGATAACATGCACCCTATAGTACTGGATCCAAAGCACCCCATCACTAAACTTATCATCCAAAGTTATGATTCCAAACTTTGTCATCCAGGTCCTGAGAGGGTGTTCGCCGAACTCCGCCGTAAATATTGGGTTCTACGTGGTAGAGAGGCCATTAAGCACCTGCAGCGAGAATGTGTGCAGTGCCAAAAATGGAAAAACAAACCCCACGTACCTAAAATGGCGGACCTTCCCCCAGCAAGACTGCGTCTTTTCAAGCCTACCTTTTACTCCACTGGTATGGACTGTTTTGGCCCCTATACTGTCAAAGTGGGTCGACGCAATGAGAAAAAATGGGGAATAATATTCAAATGCCTTACCACCAGAGCAGTATATATCGACATCCTCCATAGTCTGGAAGCCGACTCCTTCCTTATGTCTCTCAGGCGATTTACAGCTAGACGAGGGAAACCCCATGAGCTTTTGTCAGATCAAGGCACAAACTTCCGAGGAGGTGAAAGAGAGTTAAAGGAAGCTTTTATCGCTCTTGCCCCAGATCTGCAAAGACAATTGGCTAAACAGCAAATTGAATTCCATTTCAACCCTCCTAGCTCGCCACACTTTGGAGGTTGTTGGGAGCGAGAAATTCGCTCCTTGAAAAACGCATTGATGGTGACTTTAGGAACTCAATCAGTGACGCTTGAGGTCCTTCAAACTGTGCTGGTAGAGGTTGAAGGCATCTTGAACTCCAAACCACTGGGATATACATCATCTGATGTTTCTGATCCCGACCCCATTACGCCAAATTGTCTCCTAATGGGGCGGCCAGACGCTTCACTCCCCCTGACAGTTTATCCTCAGTCTGAGCTGATCAGCCGACGGCGATGGCGCCAAAGCCAGGTCCTTGCGGACCAATTCTGGAGACATTACCTTAAATACTACCTCCCAAGTCTTCAGAACCGTGGAAAATGGCAAAAAGACACTCCAGATATCCAGGTTGGCACTACCGTGTTGATCCTCGATCCCCAACTACCAAGAGCTCTCTGGCCTGTGGGAAAGGTGTCAGAAGTATTTCCTGGAGCTGACACCAGAGTGAGGACAGCCAAGGTTCAGGTGGGAGAAAAAACTTACACTCGGCCAGTTGCACGCCTTGTGCAATTACCTGCCATTCCTGATTAAAGTAATTGTAACTGATAGTTGAAGAAAAGCCTTTTTGAATGTGTACATATTTCTTTACATAAATCTGGGGGCGGCTGTAAAAAAGGCTATAGTTACTAACCGCTTTCTAAAATCTCTTCCCCTGTATTTTGAGGCACATGCGCACACCCAGTACCTTACCTGAGCCAATCAGCGTCCAGAAACCTTGACCATGTGATCTCCCCCGCCCTCACAGAGACGCTATTGCAATGCAGCGGGACATGGAGAATGACGCTGAAGCCAAAGCAGTATAAACTGTTTATATATCATATTTATGGATGAAGGGTTGTGCGTGAATGCCAAAGTAAGTTTGTAATCTTTAATTATACAGTCGATGAGCACTGCACCCGCTCTGAGAAACAAGTTATTATGATGTAACGAGATACCATAGAGACGTTCGTGTATTTCCGATTGTGTATGCTTGTCACACTCTAGATCAAATGTTTGTCTACCTAACTTTATTACTGTCTGCACTTGAGTTACAGTTGCCTTATAATTACATGTTATGTTATTGTTTGAAGCGAAGTTCGCTGTATTTCTTTCTATATTTAATGGGAAAATTGTTGGTTTTTTCGCAACAGTTTGCTATGCGCATGCGCTCTCATAACCCCGAAGAGCGACGTTGTACAGATTTCGCGGGCTTGGGTGTCAGATTACAGCTGTACATAACAACGATTACAGCCTACTTTATATTTGCTTTCAATTTATTCTAGTAATGTTTAATTATTGATGCTATATTATTACTCCTATGTTTAATTGTTGTAATTATTACTATTATGTATATTCATGTTTATGTTACTGTTTATTTTATAGAAAACCACAGCCACAACCATACAAGTGATTCTGTTGAGTGGTGATAATAAATGGGTTATTCCCGGAATTTAACTGCATCTTCGATTTAGACTCTAATCGGACAGTCTTTGGTGGGTCAACACCCTGAGCTGGCAGTCTATTATAAGTGCTACAACCAGAAGCATTTTTTCAGGTAATTTATAGAGTTTTACAAAGTAAACATTTGATGGGTATCAAATTGGTTATAAGATATGTACTTTAGAAGACCAATACCAGAACCAATCTAGACAGAGTCTGAATGATATCACCACACCCTTTATCTGAGCCACAAACCCCTCCATCACACAAAGGGTCAAACAATCTCAGGGAAAAATGATAACGATAAAGATGTAGGCTCTCTATGAATGCAATGTAGGGTATTCCAAACCATTTCAGACACTAAATTCATAACTCATAACTGAAAAAGGGTGGGGGTGAGCAGGCAGTTTACTTTAAAAGAGCACCAGATTCAATAAAGTGTTTGACATATGTTTATGTTATATGGACACATTTGCTGAAAACTCTTACATGATAACCACAGTTTGGCAAATGTGTGTGTGTGTGTGTGTGTGTGAAGAACATTTTAAAAATCGAAAGAATCTTTTTCCATTATAAAGAGCCTTAAAGAACCGTCCTTTTCAAGACTGTAATCATCATTCCTAAAATCATAATAAATTAAATGTATAAATAAACTTGGTGGCAGACACCAAGCAGTAAAATATATTAATATAGTACATTATGATATTATTTTGGTACAGCAAGTACTGTATTTTTAGCAGTGGTTTTATGGTGTGTTGGTTACCATGGTGAATGGGGAAGGGAATGTTATGGTTGTATCATGAAGATACAACCATATTTTGTGTGTAGTTTGTGCTCGAAAAAAGAAAAGGCTTTGTCATAAACAGGTTATTAACAGGAGTTAATGCCAAAGTTTGTCCTGTAGCTGCATTTTTTCATCATTAACGTCATTTAAAAATAATAGGTCATTAATAGTTAATACTTAACCATACCCAAGAGTGAGAAAAATCTGACACACACACAAAATCATTTGTTTAATTTTTTTTTTTTTAAATAACGTTTTCTGTCAGGAGTGTGTGTGTGTGTGTGTCCAGCACATTCTTGTGAAGGATTGTCCCAGCAACCACAGCACGTCAGCCTGATTGTTATTCACTAGAGATATCCTCCTAACTAACAGCTCTCGTGAACTCCTAAAACGGTTTAAAACAGCAGTGAACACAGCTGAGCACAGACACAAAAACGAAGCAACCAAAGTAAAACAAAAACAAAGCAAACAAAGTAAAACTAATATTCATTCAAACCTACCTCACACAGAGAACACGCTCACTTGAACAATGTTATGTCGATTTCCCACGAAACACGTAAAATCCCGCAAATCGGCGCGTGTGGGAAAAGTGGAGCGCTTGATAAACATGATCCAAACTGCGCAATGAAGTGAGGAGGAGGAGGAGGAGGAGGAGGAGTAGGAGGAGGTGGGGAGGGTAGTACTAGTATGCATGTGCCATCCAGTGGTGAAGAGACAGACTTCACCTCAACCATGCAGGGCAACTACTATGGCGGAAGATTATTATAATCAGACCAGACGCCACTGACGGTAAAGTTGACATGGTCCTGTCGTGTCTTTCCCTTTTATAAAGACAGAGGACGCTAAAGAAGAGTCAGGATACTATAGGGCAGTGGTTCTCAAACTTTTTCAGGAGGAGGCCCCCTTGTGTAGGGTGAATGCTTTTGTGGCCCCCCAAAAGAAAACTCATAACGAAAACATCCTCAAACGTACAATTTTACTTACAAATTTTAGATTGTACCAAAAACAAATGAATTTGTACAATGCTGGAACAACAGTTCTGTTTTTAGCTTTATGTCTTAATTAGTTAAATTGTACATTTCATTAAATATAACATTTTTTTATAAAAAATGGTTTTGACAGTTAACAGTAATATTGTCTGAAAAGTGCAACAAAAGTATTGAATACTGAACATTTGTGATGTTCATAGTAAAAGATAAACACTGAAAAATTAATTTGCTGATTGTAAAAAAGTGCATTAAACTTCTTACATTTTAAGGTAGTAAATGACAGTGGCTCAAGTTTGGTTTGCAAATTTGAACAGCAATCTGTTTTTTCAGCAAGAAACAAAAAAAATTCTACTCTACTTAAAGAAATACTTTTTCAATATAGAAGACATACAATTTTATACAAGTTTTACAATATAAAAGAAATCATGCAATGCAGATTTCACATAGGACAATCGAAACTTACATACAGGTAAAATAATTTTTTAAAAATAATTTCATATTCTAGAATTTCTTTGCGGCCCCCCTAGCGCCATCTAGTGGCCTTGCAGCTGACATTGGCTGCGTTCGAAACCGCATGAGGTAGCCTACTTAATTTCACTCAAGTACTTAACGAGCACTAAAAGAGTAGCCTACTTCCAGATCTCGTGAAGTATGAATGCGAGCCGTAGCTACATCATTCGCCATGTTGACGTTTTCATCTGACCTCGACTTTATCACAATCGCAACAAGATCTAAATATCTTGATATTGGCAAAACAAGCTCATTTTGTACTCTTGTTGAAGAAACAGCTGCCCATTTATTTTGTGATTGTAGTATAACCAAAAAAATATGGGTTGATTTAAGTTAATATATTTTTAAAGTTAAACCACTAATGTGACCCACAGTTTTATCCATGTTTTTTATTTAGAAATCACCAAATCGTCATCTCTTGAATATGTTGTTCAATTTCTTCAGCTGCTCGAAGATCTCGCCTTTGGAGATTGTTGATTTTATTCTTGAAAAATGTAAGCATCACTCCTTAAAAATTAAAATAACCCTAAAATGAATTGCTAGTCCAACACTTTTGCACAATATTCATTCATTCATTTTTTTTTCATTCATTCATTTATTTATTTATAAAGCACAATTAAAACAATGTGATGTTGACCAATGTGTTGTACAAACACATAAAGACAATAACAAATATCTGTGAAGAGCCTCTTATCAATTAACCTACTGATCCAAATTCTAGCAAATGCAAGATATAACTTGCAATAGCCTAATCAGGATAAATTCTGAACAATTCCCTTTTTTTTTTACTTAAAACTTTATATTTTAGTTAAACAAGCTAAATGGAATTGTGGTATGACATGCATGACTGCATTAGATTGCTATAAGCTCAATTGCTTCCTCCTGCTCGATTGCTCCTGTCTGCCTTGCAGCTCTGCTGAGTTGTTTTGCGTCTTTAGCTTCATATATATTTCAGTTTTGAATCATTATTTACCATATAATTTAATCAACATCACATATTAAAGTTTCAATCTAAATCGTTGCTAGTATGAATAAAAATGATAATTGAAAAAGTTTTTTGGGGCAGACCTGGCGAGATGGTATTCATCCCTCCTGGGATGGTGTTGCTCTTCTCTCTAGTAGTGAAGTAGTAGTGATGCCGCAGTGGATAAGACACATGCCTTTGGTGTGAGAGACCTGGGTTCGAATCCACTGTGAGACACCAATGTGTCCCTGAACAAGACAAATGTAAAAAAGTTGCTCCAGAGGCGTGCGACCTCTGACATATATAGCAATTGTAAATCGCTTTGGATAAAAGCGTCAACTGAAAAAATATGTAAATGTATGTAACGTAATGACTCAATATAGCCTACTAGCCGAGACTCTTCTTTATGTGTACAGATGTGACGTAATGAATGAACATGTTGAATAAAAATAAAAATCAGCCAGAGGCAAACAAGAAGAAGCATCGCTGAAGTACTTAAGTTGAGCAGCAGTATGGATAATAGATTATGTCAGGGTTTTGAACCACATCCAGAGAAACATGACTCCTCAACCCAATTTGAACAATATCCCTTGCCTTGCCCATTAATCTCGACAGTATTTCATCAGCTTGGTTGGATACTGGACACTTCTGTTTGTTTAGCTGAGATTTTGTCAATTCAATCCAATCATAGACAGAGTATTTATCAGAGCCGTCACCTTTGAATGCCACTGGTTCTATGTCTGTTTTAACATGAACTATTACTTGAAGCGTATTTTGGACACATATTTTCAGTAGCCCCGCCTCCACGAAAGATATGTGCCAGATTGGTGACTGAAAACTCATGGGAGCATAAATGAAAACTTCAAGCATAAATTAAAACTATGGGAGTGCATTTGTAAGTTCAGATCAGCAAAAGAAAGATGTGAAAACAGTTAGCTAAACATCCAGAATATAAAAAACGAAGTCAAAACATTTGCCTATGGTCTTACCATAACATTTTAAAGAGGCACTTGGCAACTATTTCAACTTGATGAAACTGTTTAGAAATCATTTGAATGGTTCAATAACCTGTTCTGGAGAGAATTGTGATGTAAATCAGTGAAGAAATTACTTGTATTTTTCACAAATTCTCCACGTTTTAGTTCAGTTTATATTTTAAACATTTATTCACAATAAGATTATGATAGGTGATGTTTTACCTTTTATAATATTCATAATATAAAATAGTCTACAATTCAATATCTCCAATAAACATGTTACACATATTGCATCAGAAGTATTACATCCTCTTACAAAATTTATAATTTGCTGATGTATAGCTTCAAACATACTCTTTAAAAAAAATACATTTTTTTTTTTTTACTTTATTCTGAACAATACACAGGAAAATAGGTACAGAGAAGATACTGTAACCTGTTCAACAAAATTAAATCAACAGTGTACAGACCAGAGGATAATAACAAATCAATTATTATAATGATAGAAGGGGAAAAATTAAAAAATATGCAGTTCCTTCAGGAGATGAAATGTTCTTGTAGCCTTCATGTTTTCCATGTTTTCTATTCTTGTGTAATATAATTTAAAGTCCAAATTAAATGCATTAAAACAAGGTTGTGGATTAGACCATTTACATTTGTGAATATGGTATTTTCCAAAGATAATAAACAGCTGAATAACTTAAAAAAATACATTTATCTGAGAACTCGCTATGGCGGCTGACGTCACATAGGGCTGTTCGTGTGAAGCGCATCAATAAAGTTCCGCCATTCAAATGCTAAGTTTACTTCCTGTTTTCATTTTTTTTTAATGTCCTGTGACATCTGAGAAAATTCATCTCGAAAGTAGAAAGAAACTTCAGTGCTGCCACGTCAGGATTACAGCTCTAGATAAACACCTGGCCGAAATCCCAAGAGACACTCATACACCAAATAACCTGAACGGAAAATACCAGCCTAGCGCGAGGTTTGTTCTGTCATGGAGAGCAAATATAACTTGAAGAGTCCAGGTAACGTTATGTCGTCACATCTTTTATACATCATCGATATTAAATTTAATGGCTTGAGTTATGTGCTCATTAAAGGCGTTATACACACATTCAGCCCTTATACGTTACATGTCATGAGCTAACGTTAGCTGGATTAGCTCGTTAAGGAAGTGTCAATACTTCATCTGATTCTGAGCTGGAATGCGTCGAGCAAACATTACAAACTAACGTTACCATGGCATGTAACAACATAAATGAATATGGTTATAGTGCAATGTAATGGTAACTTACATGTCATTAGTACTAGGGTATTAAAGTAGCAGTACCACCACACAGTATGCTGTAATCTACATATTGGTAAACAACCTGCTAGCATTAATACAGTGTAAAAGATGTGTTTAGTTTGGCACTGATTATTTTGTCAAGCGAATACTATTTCTAATATTCAAATCACACATTTTATTGCTTGCCCTTTGTAATTGTACATTTAAGTACTGAGTAATATGATTTAACTTCATGAACTTTAGGTTTAGGGTTTAGTTTAGTTGCATGTTTACTCTAGTTGCTACTGTAGTAGACTGCAAAATTAATAACTGTTACTCATTTTTACACGGGTGAAACAGTACAACAGTTGTTTACAGGTAAAGTATACGAGAATATCCTTAAATTCAAACATTGAAATGTATTTATATCACTATTGAGTGAAATGTGCCTACCCTTTCAGCACATTTTTTACATTTATAGTTCTTCATGATATACATTTTAATAATTTCACAGTTTTTTATATTTCACGAATCCGTTGAAGACTGCAGCATGTAAATCGCTTGCTTATTTCTGAACTATTCATGTTGTTTTATTGTACACACACACACACACACACACACAGCCTTATATTCTGCAGTAATTTCACTATAGCCAAATTGCTATGCTTTTTTTGATTACATGCTTTGTTTAGCTAATTATTAAATCTTGGATCTCCTGGGACGCGTGCGGTTGCTAGGTGTTTCCCAACTATCTGAAGTCAAAGGGTTCACCATCGAGTCTTTCTGATATTGCAGTCTGTTACAGTAATTCTGTGGGATTTTAATAAGCACATGTCATTTTAAGAAATGTTGTTGCAGATATTGACGTGAGACCTTAGCTCAACTGAAGTGTGTGTGTGTGTGTGTGTGTGTGTTGTGTTCATCAGCTGTGAAGAGGTTGATGAAAGAGGCAGCCGAACTCCGGGACCCAACCCAGCATTATCATGCTCAGCCACTGGAGGTCAGACATGTCTCGTTTGATTATTTTAATTCAATTATTAATTACATTGATATTTTTTAATTATTATATTAGTTTGTGTGTCTAATTATAATCTATTTTGCTAGTTTGTTAGAGTTATGTTATGCTTTTAGCATATCTGTTAATGACCTCCTCATTTGGATAAAAGCGTCTGCTAAATGATTAAATGTTAATGACCAATCAGCATCTACATCTGCCTTTCAAAGAACATCTTTAAAGGGGTCCTATATGTTTTTGGGGTCTACTGGAATCATGTTTACATCATTTAATGTTCAAAATACTCTTTTAAAATACTTTTTTTTTTACATTATATATTTTTTTTCTTCTTACGTTCACAGTGTGAATCATTTTTGGTTTGATGGTGTTGTAAATTTTAATATATATGTACGTATTACATATTTAATTATTATGAAAGTGTTAACTGTCATCAATCAGTAACACTTTACAATAAGGTTTTATTAGTTAAATTGGTGAATATTAACTAATAATGAACTGCACTTCTACAGCATTTATTAATCTTAGTTAATATTAATTTCAGCATTTACTAAAGCATTAAAATCAAAGTTGTGTTTTTTTATCATTAGTTAATGCACTGATTGTGGCATAAAATGAATAAATAGATTAACAAATAAACGATAAGATTAACAAATGTGTTGCTCATGGTTAGTTCATGTTAGTTCATACATGAATAATGAACAAATGAACTTTATTGTAAAGCATTGCTATGAAATCAACGATATACATTACTTACAATTTAGAGTTGCACATGGACTTTCATTTAACCAGATGTATTTCCCCAAGCTAATAACACTTGCTATGGCTTGGATAAAAACGAATGACATTGCATATTAGCTTTAGGTTACCCGCTGCTCGTGTTGTTTGAAGACTCTCGAATATGAAATTCATCTTTTGAAAGTATTTTGACGCATGTATTGAATTTCTTATTGTTACACAATTGAGTGTTTGTCATTGCTGTCATGCTGATTCATCAAATAACGAAACATGTCTCTATCAATGAGACATTGACTGCATTCAAATATTTTTGTTTTTAATAATTTCATTCTAATGTAAAATTAATATGTATTTTTAATTGACTAAACTAAAGCAATGAACGCTTTATCAGACGTTTTAGTTTAGTTCTCCTTCAGGATCTCTATACATTTTACTCATACACGCATGCAAAAAAAAAACAAAACGTGATTTTCAATTTAGCAGGAATTACTGAAATGAGGAATATTGTGAGCTATTCGACAAGTTCGGACAAAATATGGATTTCTGCTGTCTTTTGAAATGTAATTATTTGGATTTGAATGAATGATTAGATTAATGACTCGCTCATTAAGACTTCACTTGTTTCAGTACTGTTTTTGAACGAATCTCTTGAATAATTGATTCGAAAATAAACACATCTTTAACAGTCATTTGGAATGATGTAATTGATACAATCTTTATTTGAAGTGCAAAGTTACTTTCAAACGATGATCTGCTATATCTTAATCGCTTCTGTAGACATCAGTGTTTATATTCAAACTGTAAACTTTTATCTCAGCACTTCTGGGATACTGTGAATATCTGCAATGAAGAAATAACAATATTGTGTGTTTGAAAAGGCTGTTTCATACCTGTACATGACGACCGCTCTCTCTGGCTCAGCGGCAGATTCAAACACAGATCTTCATGTTCGCAATCAAGATGGCGGTCGTTTAAGGGTTAATCGTGCTGCTCTAGTGCACACTGCCACTGATATATTGAATAACTCCTTTCGATGTGGCTTTATAAACCTTTTTCATCAGCAAACAGCAACATTACGCACTAAGCATAATAGGACCCCTTTAAGAAATATGGGTGGAGCTTTGTTTTTTTTCTGAACCCAATGACCTTCAGTGTGTGATATGACTCTCATGTGTTGATCAGGATAACCTGTTTGAGTGGCACTTCTCCGTCAGAGGACCTCCAGACTCTGATTTCGATGGTGGAGTTTATCACGGTCGGATCGTGCTGCCCCCCGAATACCCCATGAAGCCCCCCAGCATCATTCTGCTCACCGTAAGACAAGCCTCGGCTACTTCTTAACCCTAATGCCTCTGTTCCAATCCTACACAGACAGTTCTCCACACAGCTTGAGAATCAAGATCACACTCGTTTTCACGAATAGTTCTTGAATTATAATGTCTTCTAGGTGCCTTGAAAGAAATGTTTTAGCTTTTAGAACGAAATCACACTAATTTCGCACTAATGACTCGGGTCTTTTAGGGCCGTGACACACTAAGTCTGTCTGGCTAGTTTTTAGTTTTAGCGAATGAGTCAGTGCAGAAGAGTAAAAGTGAAGTCAGGACGGCACAGACCGAAGGCTGTTATCTTTTTATATCATAAAAAAAGCCTCTATGAACTTGAAGGTATTAATACATGGATAATTAAAGGATTAGTTCACTTTTAAAAAAACTTTTGCTGACAATTTTCTCACCCCCATGTCATCCAAGATGTCCATGTCTTTCTTTCTTCAGTCGAAAAGAAATGAAGGTTTTTGATGAAAACATTCCAGGATTTTCTCCATATAATGGACTTCAATTGGAACCAAACGGTTCAAGGTCCAAAAGACAGTTTCAGTGCAAACTGTTCAAAGGGCTTTAAACGACACCAGATGAAACAATCGCGCATTTTAAAAAAACCAAACAAACAAACAAAGTTTAAGTTTTATAAGCTCAAATGTTCGCCTTGCTCTGTTCTGTAATGACTCTCCTGTTCAAACTTGTTTATCAAAATGAACAAATCTTTTTTCGTGTCATTTGGTTCATTCAACGAACGAAATGAATGAGTTGACTCGGGAAAAGAGTTCCAACAGGAGAGTCACGAACGCGCATCACACCCTAGCCTTAACCCTAACAGAGCAAGGTGAGCATTTGAGCTTATAAAACTTAAACTTTGTTATTTATAAAATGAGCGATCGTTTCGCTTGATGAGACCCTTATTCATCGTCTGGAATCGTTTAAAGCCCTTTGAACAGTTTGCACTGAAACTGTCTTTTGGACCTTGAACTGTTTGGTTCCCATTGAAGTCCATTATATGGAGAAAATCCTGGAATGTTTTCATCAAAAACCTTCATTTCTTTTCGACTGAAGAAAGAAAGACATGGACATCTTGGATGACATGGGGGTGAGTAAATTATCAGCAAAAGTTTTTAAAAAGTGAACTACTCCTTTAACAATGCCTGTTTCTGTGTCCTCATGATCTACTGACTTCCTCTTCCCCTAACCGTTCTTCTGTTGTGTTTCTCTTGTATTGAATAAAAGCGTTCCTCTCATCCTCAGGCCAACGGGAGGTTCGAGGTTGGGAAGAAGATCTGTCTGAGTATTTCCGGTCACCATCCAGAGACGTGGCAGCCGTCATGGAGTAGTGAGTGTCTTCATGAATTGCATTTATACCACCTCTAAAAAACTGAATAGCCATTTCGATATATATATATATATGTATATATATATATATATAATATAATTGTGTTTGTGACATAAAAGACATTTGTAAAAAAATATATATATATATATTTGCAAATCTCATTTAATTTATTTGTGAGTTTTATAAATGTTTGTTAAACTCTTTACATTTGTTTGTGAAAATCTGTTTCTCATTCTGTTTATTTGTAATAATGTAACAATCCAAACCCACAAACATTAAACCTGTGTGTTTCTCTCCATGTGTCAGTTCGGACCGCTTTAATAGCGATCATTGGATTCATGCCGACCAAAGGGGAAGGAGCGATAGGATCTCTGGATTACACTCCTGGGGAGAGAAAAGCTCTCGCTAAAAAGTAAGATATCAGCCTTTTCTACCTCTTTATTTTCATCTGATAAAAACATGCACAGGGTCACACACACCATCAGGGTTACACACACGATACTTTATACAAAGTGCATAATCATACGTGACGTGTCAGGCAGGGAGGCTTTCTTTCACCATAAATTATATGGTAATAATTCATAGGTTTTACTTGCAAAAAGCTAAATATACATTTGACTGTACAGTACAGGAAAATTACATTTAATACCATGTTAAACCACTTACAGTTTTTCACCATATATGGTAAATTAACCAGTTAACCGATTAACAGTGTTAAGCACACTTTTGAAATGGGCTATTAGAGGATATAATATAAGTATAAAAACATTGAAGTTGAATTAAAATTAGAGGAGTAGTTCACTTTTGAAAAACCTTTTGCTGATAATTTACTCACCCCCACGTCATCCAAGATGTCCATGTCTTTCTTTCTTCAGTCGAAAAGAAATTAAGGTTTTTAATTAAAACATTCCAGGATTTTCTCCATATAATGGACTTCAATGGGAACCAAACGGTTCAGGGGCCAAAAGACAGTTTCAGTGCAATACAAACTGTTCAAAGGGTTTTAAACGATTCCAGACGATGAATAAGGATCTTATTAAGGATGTATCATGTATTCATCACATGGATGAATAATGATATGCAGATGAGGATATGCATATTTAAACTAGGCGTTGTAAGGTCCATGGTTATTTCGGGGAGGAGAGGCACGTGCGCACAATCTTCGGCTGACTATTTGACTGTACAAAACCAAGTGAATAACACACACCAACAAAATACAACAACAAAACGATTGCTTTTCTAAAAACAGCAAGCAGAAGGGCTAACAAAACACCAATTAAGACATAAGACCAAACGAAAGAAAAACATTCAAGGTAGTCCGCATTGGTTCAGAAAGGAGGGTCGATGTGTTGAACAAGTACCTGAGAGAAAGTGGAGAGCAAATACAACAGTCAAAAGGTGAAACTCTGACCGTAACATACAGCTGGTAAGAGTTATAACATGGCATGTGTCTATAAAGAACAGCATGGTGTTGTCTTCATCATCATGTGTGACACTGGGAGGCAAGCGGCTGAGAGAATGGGTGGATTGATGATGTGTCATCGGATACATCCAGCTGAGGCCTCATTTCAGCGTGTGTGGACATGCTGTGTCCTTTATAAACACACACATACATCTGTAGATGTGACTGATTGTTGTTGTCTGCGACATTTCTCCAATCAACACGTGCTGATTAAACGTCCACACACGCCAGCACTGTTATTCAGTCTGTCTGCCTTCAAACCATCGGCATTTACTAATGCAAAACCGGAAGTCTGGAATCATGAAGAGTCCTTAAATACTGTAAAACGCTAATATTGTGAACTACGTTGCCCTGCGGGAGAAGTCACTGTTGGGTTTTAAATGGACAAATGCTTAAAGGAGTAGTTAACTTTAAAAAAACTTTTGCTGATGATTTACTCGCCCCCATGTCATCCAAGATGTCCATGTCTTTCTTTCTTCAGTCGACAAGAAATGAAGGTTTTTGATGAAAACATTCCAGGATTTTCTCCATATAATGGACTTCAATGGGAACCAAACGGTTCAAGGTCCAAAAGACAGTTTCAGTGCAAACTGTTCAAAGGGCTTTAAACGATTCCAGACGATGAATAAGGGTCTTATCAAGCGAAACGATCGCTCATTTAATAAATAAATAACAAAGTTGAAGTTTTATAAGCTCAAATGCTCGCCTTGCTCTGTTCTGTGACGCGCGTTCGTGACTCTCCCGTTCAATCTCGTTTGTCAAAATAAACGAATCTTTTTCCGAGTCATTTGGTTCATTCAACAAACAGAATTGACTCAAAAAAAGATTTGTTCATTTTGATGAACGAGTTTGTCCAATCCAATTTATGCATTAAATTATTATTAGTATGATTGTGTTATCATTATTAGGGGAGGCCTAGGCTTTCAGCCATTCGCCCGACCGGGTTGACACAGAAATAAGCGTGTTGGACTCTCCGGATACGAGCGAGCCGATGCGGCTGCTAATGAAGCTCTTCACCAGGAAGTTAATGAATGTCAGTCAAATTCCTCCTTCAGATATCAGGCTGATTAGTAATCAGTACATATTAAATAAGTGGCAAGAACAGTGGAATATTATGAAGAATAATAGGCTATATGAAACTCATCCTTTCTATCACTCTTAAAGCTAGACTTGATCAATTGTCGTAGTTGGTAAACATGGTGACGTTTTTTTGTGGGCGGAGCTTATGTGGAGGCAGAACGATCTGCCGCTTCACTAACGCTAGTTAGCAAGGATTGTTAGCTTGTTTTTTAACAATGACTGGAGAAAATCAGATTTTATCTTAATGTGTAAGGTCACTCAGTGTTCAGGACCGCGATTGTTATTTCCAAAAGTTATTTTTAACGGACGGAACCAGATTGGCCGACCCGTAGCCTTCACACGCTCACTAAATGCATGGACGATCTGACAGGATTAACGTACGTTACCTCGGTTGAGTGGCCTGACTTCTACACCTACCTTATAGAGAAACCGATCGTAAATAGAAACTGAGGGCATATAAATCTTTAGATGCCTATATGGTCCTGTACAAGACTTGTGTGTGCGATCCGCAGTTCTGCCGAGCCAGCGCCGAGACCACGACAATATAAATATGTCATTACGGTGCGATTTTAATGATGTGAATATTTTCTAGAAATAAAAATTCCAGATACATCATTTTTCATCAATTCTTGCACCAAACAACACAACAAGATGACATTTAATAATAGTAACAACAATTTAAGCTCCTTATTATGTAGCCGAATCTGTGCTGGTTTGTATTGGCCGCCTCCAGTTTTCACTTTGTTTTGCCTCCAGCTAGCGCCGTGACGTAACTGTGACGTCGGCGCAAAAGGGGTCTATAGGCGAAGACCCAACTTTATGCATCTTTTGTAAGATTCCTGAACTGTTAAACATATTTTATTAGATTGTCCTGAACTTAATACAAGTAGAATGTTTTTTTTTTTTTTACATCACTTAAGGTCATCACTTATTTATTAAGATTATGCCTAAAAAGGTTTTGGATTTTATTTATTTATTTTTTAATTTAAAAGATCTTGTTGCTGTTTTTATTGTATTTGTATATTGTATTGTGATTGCATCATGAAAATAGCCTTGGATGCTGATATGGCGCTTCAGCATAAAACCATCTGAATCTGAATCAGCTACATTAATTTTTTTATGAATCGTTAAAATACTTGTCCAGAGCCTGTAGACGGTAGTGCACAGGGTGTGTGTTTGTGCTTAGTTTAAAGTCAGCATAAAAAGGAGTCGTTGATTGTGTCGGATATCAGTGAAACCCTTCAGGAGCAAGAACAAATGTGGGCGGGGTTTGCTCTGGTTTGCTATTGGTGGATCTCGTGTGAGTGACGGGTGACGGAGAAGAGATGCTGCAAGAGGGAGGGGTTAGATATTTTGATTAAAGATTACAAGTGCACATTTTTAATAAAACAAATAAATGGTTTGGAATATATTGTGTAGTAAATGTGTGTTTTGTTTGTCAGGTCTCAGGATTTCTGCTGTGAAAGTTGCGGCAGCTGTATGCGCACGGCTCTGCTAGCGCTCTCTCCGGACAGCGACCCTCGACCTGTCGACCCTCAGGCACTCAGACTGGCCCAGCAGATCAGCTTCAAGGTGACACTCAGGGGATATTCGCATCAACATTATTACGCCTCGGGAGAACAGCGTTCAAAGTTTAGACACCACCGTGCTTCCTCAGTTGATTGACCACGTTAATAATTTCATTTATTTGTATTGAACGTTTTCTTAAATGTGGTTTAAATAATTGAGCCATTATCTAATTAAATATGTGTTTATTTGCACCAATTTTCATAAAATGTAAAGGGGAGATTTGAAACTTATGTTGAGAAACTGCCCTTTAAAGATGAGTATGTGTAATTAGGAGTTTAAAAAATGTGTAATATTCAGTAATATTATTGATTTGCCCGCACTGACTCTGTTGAATGGGAACAAAACTTAAACTGAATTGACCTGAACAATGACATCACGATTTTTTTTCATAATTGACAATTTTGCAACATGGACACTGTTATTGAACTGAACTGAATCAACATTGAACTGAATTATGACACTATAGTCTTTTTAGAGTGGCTTTACAGCAGATTTCGAAGTTTGCGTCATTTATTATTATTTTCCAGTTTATCACTGTGAAGATGCTTTAAAATAATTTAGTTTAAAGCCCTACAGGAATAAAGATGATGACTAATTGAAATCTACAGATGGTGATCAAATACGTTTTAATAATAATGTTCATTTTACATATTCTATCAAATTTTTTTTTTTGTCTTGATTATTATTCTATGTTTTGTTTTCCAGGCTTTGGCAATATTGTATTATGTACAGTCATGCCAATAAAGCAATTAAAAATGTTATGAAATAAACACTTTTTTTACCTGTAGTTTGCCTTAAGCCAGATTACAACCATTAAGGTTTTTTCATTGTGACAATTTTCATAGGAATGAAGCACATGACCTGCCCAGTTCTCATTGGTTTATTGTGTCATCAGGCGGAGTCGAGCTCGTCGGCTGCGGACCGTGGCAGTTCAGCGGCAGCGGCAGTGGCAGTGGCAGCGGCAGCAGCGGCTCTCAGTGACAGTGAGAGTTCATCTACACCAGAGAGAGACACAGAAGACACGTCTTCAACTGAGCAGGTGCAGGACCACACACACTCCGAAATTGTATTTGTGATTCTGGATTGTCAGAACACTGTTCTAACTGCTTGCTACGGATGTGAAAAACGCAGAAAATCGAACCCAATCGGAATTTTTTTATTCGGGCTGGGTATTGACACAAATTTCCCAATTCGATTTCGATTCCGATTCGAAATCGATTATTTTGGATATCAGTTCCAATAAATGGCAAATTTTCTCAAGGAAATCAAATCTCTTAACTAATGCTGTAAACTGGGAGTCTAGTTGTAGCCTATAGGCTTCATTAGCCTAATATGAAGGTAATAATGAACTGTTTTGTAGCTATACAAACACTTAAATTACACTTTTATTTATTTTTATAATAAGAAGATTATATGAAATATAAACATTTAAATGGTGACTGTCATAAAAACTTGCCAAATTTATTCAAATATGCATTAAATATTGAAGAACATTCAGATTATAATGCATATGTAATATTTATCAAAATGCTCCTCTCTAGAGTTATTTTTTCTAGCTGACTAACGAGTTTATGTGGGTTTTCTGAGGTAAATATGAGGATACATGACATTGATTACAAGCTGTTTAACTGACGTCTTTCCACGGTTGAAACGCTGATTGAGCGAATCAATGTGACATGATACGGATTTCGATAAGTTGTACTCTATCTTTTAACACACTTTCAGATGATAAAAATCGCTGAAAAAATTTGATGACTTTGCCCCAAAATAAGGTTTAAAACACTGTTTTCCTCACAGGTTATATTTTAGATTTGAACTAATTTTCGGTCATCAGGGAGCCGCTATCAATCTGCGGGAGACACCCAGAACTTCTGGGAGCCTGACACAACGCACACATACACTGCATATCAAATCTGCCGCCTTTTCAGACAGTAACATATTTTCCACTGTCTCAAACCTCAACTGTGCGCATGCGTCGGAGGAACCAACCAGACGATAGGCTTAAATGTTTCCCGGCTTGACCGTTAAAAGCAAATGATTGGCTGTCCAGCGGGAGGGGCGGGACGTGCATGCAATCGCCATCTTTGGTGTTACGGGTTTTCCCTATACATTTGTATTAAGGATTGAGCAAGTGGCATGTCTCTATATAAATAGTCTCTGGCTTTACCCAAAGTTGAGCATTTTTCAAAACTCTCGGTGACCAGTAAAAAACGCCGACCGGTCAGTGCTTCAAAAGACGCTCATGGCGTTCTAAAAACGCAGCGCTCCCATTGAAAACAATTGAAGACATACGCCAGGTGTGTGGAAAAAGGACAGAATGCTGACCGTAGACAGAATTTCTCGCTGTAGTCGTGATGTTGCCCATCACATATCGGTACAGGCATCAGAACCGGGTCTCCTCGTAGCAGATCTGTGTGTGTGTGTGTGTGTGTATGTGAGACGGAGAGATTCCTGACACTGTTTTGAGTTCTGTACACATTTTGTAAGCTCTTCACGAGTTCTGGTCAAAATACCATAATATGTACGCACATCTATCCCAGAACACAGCACTGTTTTTGATGTTTGGTCGGCTTTTATTACTTATATTTCTCGATGTAACTTACCAATCACGTTGTGAACACATCCCTATGTTTCTTTGGTTTCGGTGTTAAAGGGATAGTTCACATTGAAATTAATTTTTGGTATGTTTTAGTTTACCTCAAGGGCATCCAAGATGTAGGTGTCTTTGTTTCCACAGTATTTTCAATTTTGATATTTTTAGGTCAAACCGTTCTTGTCTGTCAGTCATATAATGGAGGTCTATGGTCACCACCTCAAAGAGCATGCACAGAGAAGTCCAAATTAAACATGATTTAATGACTCGTCAATGTAAGGACACATTGATGGCCTAAGACACGAAACGAGTGGTTTGTGTGAGAAAACGAACAGTATTTATATCGTTTTTACCTCTTGTAATCACAGCCACGTCCAAGTGATCTGAAGGCACGGGCGCTTTGTGGCTGTGATTACACGAGGTAAAACCATATAAATACTGTTGGTTTTCTCACACAAACCGCTCGTTTCGTGTCTTAGGCCATCAATGTGTACTTATATTTACGAGTCATTAAATCATGTTTAATTTGGTCTTCTCTGTGCATGCTCTTTGAGGTGGTGACCATAGACCTCCATTATATGACTGATAGACACGAACGGTTTGACCTAAAAATATCAAAATTGAAAATACTGCGTAAACAAAGACACTTACATCTTAAAGTCACAATGTAAACTCCATGCGAACCAGGACGAAAGGTTGTTGGTCCGGACCAAATGCAGTGTGTCCCCTGTTCAGTAGCATCGGCTCCCAGTGCGTCTGTAATGATCTCTTCTCCTCTCTTTCTTCTGGTCCAGACTGAGTCCTCATTCGTGGCTGCTCCGACATCAAGCGAGGGTCCATCCGCCCCGGCGGCTCCGAGTCCCCGTCAGCGGCGCTCGCAGACCCAGAGCCCCAGATACCCCACGTTCACGGCCTCCCCCGCCCCCCCGCACCCGCAGCAGGACCCCAGTCACACGGGCTGTGCCGTCCTCATAGTGCTCCTCACACTCGCGCTCGCCGCGCTCATCTTCCGCAGGATCTACTTGGCCCACGAGTACAAGTTTGATTACGAGCTGTGAACTCTTTCTGTCCTGATCCAGCAGACGAGGTGTGTGTTTCAGGAACAAGAACATGTCAATGGAAGCTGCTTTTCGCCACAGAATATAAAAGATGATTGAAAATCTCAAAATTCGAATATTTTGTCTAGGAATTGCTAGTTTTTATCTCGCAATAAGGTCAGAATTGCGAGATGTAAAATTGTGAGATATAACTCAGAATTGTGAGCTGTCACTTTATAACTTACAATTCTGTGAGATAAAAAGTCACGATTTTATGAATTTCGTCCATTGGCAGAAACGAGATTTCACCCCTAAAAATGCACATTTATATTTGACATAAAGAGGAGACAGTTTCTGATGTTACAGTTGTCCCCTAGGCTAGCTATTTTACTTGTAAAGTATTTATGCATCATGGTGGTGATTATTGTGCCGCCTTTTAATGTTTTAATGTTCAAAAATCTACAATGGTGTCTGGGCCGAGCATCTGGACGCGTCACTGTAACTTGAAAAATATCACATGATGTAATAAGAACTGGGTACTATTCCTGTTTTCCTCAATATAATTAATAAAATAACATTTTGGGGGTGAAATATGACGTTGTTTCGTACAAATCCTGAGACTGCTGTTTCCTAAATGCATTTCAAAAGTTACCAATGTGCAAAATTTGCTCTTAGGCTGGAAGAAACCAACGACTGGAGAATTTGCAGTCCGCTTCTGAAATGTTGTCCGTCTGTCTCGGAAGCGGACATTTACGCACTATAATAACGTTACGTAGGCATGGTTGTAATATTGTATATTTTGCTTTTAAACTGTAAAAAAAACAACTACGTTTGCACTTGGATAGAAGAGCCTCTCTGGTTGGTCTGCTAATTTTCTGAAAACATTCAAGCGGTCAAAATGATGTTTTTATTTTTTACTAATATATCTGTAACTCGGTATATGAGTTTACACATAGAACGTACACATAGAAACCCTTAAACATCATCTGTTTCTCTCTTCCTTTAGCAACAACCAATAGTTTTCTTTAACCAATAAACCTGACTTTAACAGAACTGTTTGCTCTCTTCACTCCGTCTCGAAGGTTTTAAAGTGACGTTATTAACATGAACGTGTGTCTTAGTTGTTACTTCTCGGACTTTCAGCTGGTTGGCGACCAAGAACACACTAGAGAAGCGAATCTAGCATTTTAATGATTATTTTCATGTTTCTATTTACTCCATATATCAATATGTGCTGAATAGATTGATTTTAAGTGTAAGATTGTATTACAGCATTCGTATGTTATATCAACACTGTATTAAGGCTTCGATTTAATGTGGGGCATTGTGATTGATGTCTTCTGCTGTTAAACACAGATCATTAAAACATTTAAATAATCAGAGATTCAGATCCGTTTGTCCTCTATTCATGAGTAATCTTCAGCAGGAGAATGGATTTCCTGTAATGAAACAAAATGTAGTATGGTTTCAGTTTTTGTTAAAGTGGTGGTTCACCAAAATGAAATGTTAAAAGCTTTTCACAATGCTTTGGTATGTCTATTATAATGAATACGATAATAATTGCGTTTTAAATCATTTTTATCATGAAACAATGATATTTCGAGCGTACACTAAACATTTAGTCATTTCCCTGAGGCACTTCACTGAATTTGTACTGAAATTTCATGAAATGTGCACAGTGTTCATTTTTGGCAATATTGGAAGTATGTATTTGTTGTAATTTCTTGTAAAAAGCGAGAATATTTTTCTCTACTTGGTAGAAGTTAACAAAAGCGATTAATGTTGAACATTTAATTTAGTATTCACTGCAAATGCAGAATAATATCGAACATTTAATTTACATATAATTCAAAAATCGTGCGCCATCTGGCGGCCCTCCGTTGGAGAACAGCTGATATGGGATAGTTGATCACTGTGTGAGTGTGGTTTGGGCTTTTTAAAGGGATACTCCACCGTTTTTTTCATATTAAACTGTTATTCCCTTAAAGCTACACTGTGTGATTTTTACCCCCATCTAGTGGTGAAAAGGTATATGACCATCCAGTGAATATTAGTTTCTGTTCCTCTCAATTCCGATTTCGTTTTAACTCCTACCAGACTGATCTCATGAAGTGGCGTATGTATGACACGCCAGTTCGTATTTCCATTTTTGGCGTGCCATCAACACGCATAATCGCTTTTCGGCGTGTTCATGAACGCCGTTGACTTAACGTTATTACTGTATATATAAATATATGACTTACACCAACCCCGTCCCTAAACTTACCCGTCACTGGGGTTAATGGCATTTATGAGTTTTCTCCTACCATCCTAGGAAAAAAATGATCGCTCCCCAGATGTAGATCTACATTTTGCTTTGTTTTGCTCGGACATTTGACGCCGTGCACAAACACGCGGAATGACGTTAATGGCGTAGACTTACACACATACACGCGGATGCACGCGAATAGCTCAAAATACGTTGAGATAACACGCCACTTGACTTGAAATTGGCGTAAAATTGGCGTACGTTTACGCAAAAGTCATGATGTCATGTTGCTGCTACGGTGGCCAATGTAGTCTAAGATTAACATGGCTTCCAGTTCGACCTCGTCCATGAGTGTTAACTCAAACGGTGAAGCTTGAATTAACGGGTATGTCCCTTTTTGGCTAATGTTCTTTCAAGATGGAGGGGCAACATGGCGACCGACATTAGAACAACAGCTTTAACTAAGAGGAGTTGATGCACAACTCTCTTGTCTCAGTGCGTGCACTCGATCGCTAGGGTGCGTGAAACACTTTGATAGCACTTAGCTAGATTAGCCTTGTTCATTCATTTGGATTCAAGCAGAGAAGTGACCAAACACCTCCACGTTTTCCCTATTTAAATACAGTTAAATACATTTAAGTAGAGTGACTCAACCAAGAATGGTGACACAAAACGTTGTGCTTTTCCCGCGGAATATCATAGGAACTGCTTGGGAGCACTTCGAATCGGCGCAGTAATATCATCACTCCGCTAGGATTTTTCAAGTTCCACATTTGACGCAATAAAGGATGCTCGTCAGTTTCCGGTTGTGGAGATTGAGTGGAGGAAAACCGAGGAAAACGGGATTATGGCAGAGTCTTCAAAATTTACTGTCCTCCCGTCTTTGAAACGAAACTTACATACGTTTAGATGCAATTTTCTATATAGTTATGTTTATTTAATATAATTTTAAAAAGAAGCATAAACACAACGAGGGTTGTCTGTTTTATCTGTTTTTGTGACTAACGTTTCTTTAGTATAACCATGGAGTATAAAATTCAATAAATTCTCGGTAATGCATTGGACTCAATGATAGGCGGAAGTTATCGAGCATCCTTGCACCTTCACCGGTGTCGTTTAAAGCCCTTTGAAGCTGCACTGAAACTCTCATTTGGACCTTGGACCGTTTGGTTCCCAGTGAAGTCCATTATATGGAGAAAATTCTGGAATGTTTTCATCAAAAACCTTAATTTCTTTTCGACTGAAGAAAGAAAGGCATGGACATCTTGGATGACATGGGGGTGAGTACATTTTCAGCAAAAGTTTTGTTTTAAAGTGAACCTGCTGAAAAATCCAGCTAAAACCAGCCTAGGCTGGTTGGCTGGTCTTAGCTGGTTTAAGCTGGAAGTAGCTGGTTTTAGTTGGTCACCCAGCCTGGCTTAGCTGGTCAAGCTGGTCTCCCAGCCTGACTTAGCTGGTTAAGCTGGTCTCCCAGCCTGGCTACCAACTTGACCAGCTAAGACCAGCCTGACCAGCTGAAAAAGTGTTCAAAACCCCTCTAAAACCAGCCTGATAAACCAACTAACCAGGCTGGGAGACCAGCCAAAACCAGCCAACCAGCCTTGGCTGGTTTTAGCTGGATTTTTCAGCAGAAATTTGACTTTAAAAAGTGTGCAGCTGCTGTGGTATTCCGCCATACATTATAGTTATATCCACTTTACACGGGAAAAGCGCAACGTTTTATTTTGTGACACCATTCTTGGTTGAGTTACTCTACTCGTGTAACTGTATTTAAATACGGAAAACGTGGAGGTGTTTGGTCGCTTCTCTGCTTGGCCCATATTGAATGAACTGGGGTGTCTCGCCCACCAGATCGATTGAGTGCACGCACTAAGACGAGAGAGAGGGGTGTGTAGCCTATCAACTCGTAACGTAGTTTAAAATGAAAAAACGGCGGAGTATCCCTTTAAGACGAGGTCTCTAGTTAAATATATCATCTTTTAAAACAAATTAGCTCGACAACAGTGCGCTCTTTCCCAACGCTAGTCGAAAGTTCTGCTGTGTGTTCGTGTGTAACTGAAGCGACTCGACGAATCGATGTAATCGCCATGTGCGCGCGCCCAGTCAGCGCGCTGGTTGAGCAACGCGACGCGTGGCTGGCTCAGAGCATCATTGTGCGGGAACGGCTGTGCCTGAAGATGCTGTCTATCCTCTCCTTCAGTATGAACGCTGCTTTTCTTCTGCTGTGCGTGAGTGTGTGCGGGCACTGCGGGAAGATGAAGCTCGGCGTCAGGAGAACATCTGGACAACATCACAATCACGGAACGTAAGTGTCGTTTCAACTTATTATTTCAGTTTCCACATAAGCTCGGGGTCTAGTGAGCATAGGACAACATCAGGGCAAACTATTATTTACAGGTTGCTTGAAATAAGAGCTGTACTAGTTGTCACAATTATCTACTTAAGTACACGAGTTTGTGTACAAAATACTTTTTCATGCTGGGATGGTTGGTCTTTAATTAAATATTTTCTATTTTTGATGTCTTTTTTTTAATCATAAACACTTCATTTTGTGCATCAAACTGTTTTACAGTAGGCAATTTATAAGCTTGCTGTGAAAACTTTTTTGTGAAATGAGTAAGTTAAACTGTTTTCTTCTGGATTTTTAGTCAATGTTTTAAGATACTGTATGTTTATAAATATATACACACCTTGAGAAATATTCGTAACTAACACCACCTGGCTAGTCCTGTATTTTTACTAGTATTATTATAGCATCTGGACACCAGAAGTCAGGAACAAACATTGCACAGACAACAATTGACTTGATGTCAAGTACTATGTTGTTTGAGAATCTCTTAATAATGATAATATTTCTATTAATAACATCCCATTAAAAATTAAAATACTTATTATGATTAAAATCATTGCTGGTATATAGGTGTGCATATACAAATAATAAACTTTGACTGTACTTAATTCTAGATCTTTATTTTATTACTGTAAATAGGTCATAATTTAGCCACCGTTTTTGCCTGTGTAGTGTCTCAGTTCATGTCATGGACGTCTTCATCATGGTGTACGCGTGTTTCTGTGAGCTCGCACTGAAGTCCCGACATGTTCTTTTGCAGTCCGCTTTTCAAGAAGACGTTGGATGAAACCAAGACGCATCCGCTGAGATCAGACCATCTGCTGCGTGTTGATGATCATGACTTCACTATGAGACCCGAATTTGCAGGTAAAATCTGTGTGTGTGTGTCAATGAAAAGTTCAAGAATATAGATGATCAATTTCATACTGAATATAGACTTTCTTTTTATGCAAATGTGTTCCCTTTATGACACAAATTGGTAACACTTTACATTAATGTTAATTAGTTAACATTAGTTAATGCTAGCCTGGATAACGGCAGACTACGTATCATTGAGAATGGCATCTGGAAACCACATGTTCATTTTCTCGTTTTTGAGGCATGGGTTACGAATGCCCAGAGCCGTATTATTGGGAATCGTAGTTTTAAAGCCATAATATTGCTTTGGAAACACCCAGGGATGGTGTGTAATAAGGTTTGGACAGTGCTACACTTCATGTCACATTGAATTATGGTGGAGGTTTTGGTCTCGTCTGCAAACATTCAACACAGCCCCTTCCCATGTCACATCTAGGTCACTATCACATACTTTGAGTTCTCAGCTGCTGACATCTGGAGATGACACGTCTAACACAAGTCTCACTGTTCCTGCAGAGATTTGAGGCATGCCCTCTTCTGAAGTTACTCTTGGTGTTAATTGAGTCAGCAACGTCCACTGGGACGCTCAAGGCTTTTCTAATTTACACATTGGTTTTGCTTCTTATCTCTTCAGAATGCTTCTCTGTCTTTATTATCACAGCAGTCAATTCAATTCAATTCAAATTCACAACACATGGATTCCTGTGGGGGTTTAACCCTGAAAATGTGATGATAATGTGCATTGGCGAATGCATTGCAAGCTCTGACTCAACTTGACTTTTGTCTTTAAATCTAGTTTTTGTGCGTGCTGGATGTCGTCTACAGTTGCACTGTAGATAAGTTCCTCAATGTTGACCCATTGTTTACAAAAAGTAATGGAGCACTTTGTAGAGATGTTACATTTGACACTGAAGCTTCAAAGCACGTATCGAGTGCTCAACGCAATTTCTCATGAAGCTCGTGTTGTTTTCAGAGAAACACGTGATCAACGAGAAACGAAGCCTCGCTTTCTGTCCAGTCTTGTGAATGCTTCACTTTGTGTGTCATAAACCCAGATCACTACTCTACAGTTTTTTTGTATGTTTAAGTCCATTTACTAATTTACTAATACTGTGTTTGACCCCCTTTTGGGGACATGGTGGCCATAAAGGGATGGACATGGTCAGAAACAATGCTCAGGTAGGCCGTGGCATTTAAACGATGCCCAATTGGCACTAAGGGGCCTAAAGTGTGCCAAGAAAACATCCCCCACACCATTACACCACCACCACCAGCCTGCACAGTGGTAACAAGGCATGATGGATCCATGTTCTCATTCTGTTTACGCCAAATTCTGACTCTACCATCTGAAATCCAGACTCATCAGACCAGGCAACATTTTTCCAGTTTTCAACTGTCCAGTTTTGGTGAGCTCTTGCAAATTGTCGCCTCTTTTTCCTATTTGTAGTGGAGATGAGTGGTACCCGGTGGGGTCTTCTGCTGTTGTAGCCCATCCGCCTCAAGGTTGTGTGTGTTGTGTCTTCTTCACAAATGCTTTGCTGAATACCTCGGTTGTAACGAGTGGTTATTTCAGTCAAAGTTGCTCTTCTATCAGCTTGAATCAGTCGGCCCATTCTCTTCTGACCTCTCGCATCAACAAGGCATTTTCGCCCACAGGACTGCCGCATACTGGATGTTTTTCCCTTCTCACACCATTCTTTGTAAACCCTAGAAATGGTTGTGTGTGAAAATCCCAGTAACTGAGCAGATTGTGAAATACTCAGACACCAACAACCATGCCACGCTCAAAATTGCTTAAATCGCCTTTCTTTCCCATTCTGACATTCAGTTTGGAGTTCAGGAGATTGTCTTGACCAGGACCACACCCCTAAATGCATTGAAGCAACTGCCATGTGATTGGTTTATTAGATAATTGCATTAATGAGAAATTGAACAGGTGTTCCTAATAATCCTTTAAGTGAGTGTACTTCTCCAAAAAACACACATTTACCGGCTGGCCTAAACTGCACTGAGCGATTGAATGCGCTTACTTTATCCGGCATGTTTTTTTTTGTTTTGAAAAGTGTCTTATTTTACACAGAAATCATTGCAGTGTAGTCCTACTTAAGATAGTCAGAGTCTTAAGTGCTTTGTGCAGCGGTCTGATTTAGGGCTGGGTAAAAATATCGATTCATCAATGCAGTGCAATTTTTTCCTTCTCAATTCAATGTCGATTCATCAAATCCTATGAATCGATTCAGCCATCCAGGCCAGTGGCGGCGCTGTGGGCTACACTCTAGTGAGAGCGTTCAGCGTTGTACAAGTCGCGCTTTAGCCCTTAGCAAAACAGCGCGATGACGGACAGCAGCTGCACTCCGTTCAAGCCTGATTCAAGACTGCACCGCCAACATTAAAAGCCGACGTTTGGGCTCATTTTGGATTCCACTGTAAGCCGGGAACTATGGAAGCTTGTTTCCGCCACAGAATGGAAAATAAAAAAGGTAATTGCGACTTTTTATCTCACAATTCTGACTTTTTTTTTTCTCACAATTGGGAGTTTACCTCTCGCAATTCTGACTTTATTTCTCAGAATTGCAAGATATAAAGTCAGAATTGCGAGATATAAAGTCACAATTGCATGATATAAAGTCGCAATTGGGTGTTATAAAGTCAGAAATGCATGATATAAAGTCTATGAGATATAAACTTCTGAGAGGGAAAAAGGTTTGTATTTTTCCCCCTTAGAATTGGCCTGATAACTCGCAATTGCTGTTAAGTGTGATCAGCTATTAAGTGTTATTGTTTACAAAATTATAATTAGAATATAATATTGCACTTTTTTGAGTATGCACATTTTGTGCTTCAGTTTACATTTCTTTTATAACTTGAATGTATAAGAAGAAAGAAATATACTTTCTACTACTTAGTTAAATGCACTTTAGAGGTGTTGTTAAAGCACTGTACAGTGCTTGTCACAGTTGTGTTTGAATTCAACACATACAATATTGTACATTTTTATTCTGCTGAATAAACCATGACAGGAAACAAACATGCTGGGGTCAATTTGTTCTTTAACATTGGTAATACTGCGCACATTACTTAAAAATATACTCAGGCACTTAATTACTTGTGTATTTACTTATTATTGAATCGATATCGAAGCTAATAAGTCAATATTGAATCGAATCGAAATCGAATCGAATCGAAGCCTCAAGAATTGAAATCGAATCAAATTGTGAAATACCTAACAATACCCAGCCCTAGTCTGATTTAGATCTGAAGTCTGACTATCTACTATATTTAAGCCATAGTCAAAGGGCCCTTTCACACTTACCTTGTGAAGTTCTGCTACAAGATGGCAGCTCCCTCGAGGCTTCAACTTCTGGTGGATGGATTACCCCCTTGGCGCGAGCTCATGAAGCTCCGCCCCCTGTGTCGGCAGCAGCAGCTCATTTGCATTTAAAGGGCCCACACTGAAACAGCGCATTTTTCTAAACCCTAAAAAAATGACAATTTAAACGTGCTGTAAAAAATGATCTGTTGGGTATTTTGAGCTGAAACTTCACACACACATTCTGGGGACATCAGAGACTTATTTTACATCTTGTGAAAAGGGTCATAATAGGGGACCTTTAAAACAGCGCCCACAGTGTCTGATTTCAGAAATCTATTAAAAACCTACTTGTACTCGTGTGCGTTCAATGTCATGTGAAAGTTGTTATTAATCTTTGTATGAATTTAAATATATATTTTGTACAGTGCTTTGGTTGTTTTGCAACCATGCTTGTTTTAAATGTGCTTTATAAATACCATGAACTTGAAACTGTCCTGGGGATTTCTGTTTTGTGAAGTTTCGAGTTTGTTTCTAGATAAAGACTGCACTTAGATGCTGTTTCCTCTCTTCTGCAACCAACGCTGACATGATAAAGTTGCTTTGCTATCAAAAACTATCTTTATTATTCATTCTGCGTCACGCACCAATCCTTTGGATTATACACACGACAGCAACCCTGACATAAAGATGCTATGCCGTGAACTTCAGATACTTCACATGCATTTACAAATGCAGCGTTTGGATGATAATTGCTCATTGTGCCGATTGTACACGGCTTTGTGTCAGGCTGACCGTTTAAGAACAGGACAAACAGTGTTGGGTGTAACTAATTACTAAGTAATTAGTTACTGTAATATAGTTACTTTTCCCTTGAAAATGTAAAGTAAGGGATTACTCTTCATTTACTGTATATGTAATTTAATTACAGTTACTTCTGATGTAATTGAGGTAAATACTGTGTATAGATCAATCCGATCTCACAGCGAATTGTATGCATTTTATCAGGTGTCTAAATCGTACGACGTACAAATTCGTATGAATTATTGTAAAATATGTATGAAAAAAGTGTGAAATGTCATGCGGTCAGACATAAAACAATAGTGGGTTTAACATCAAAATGTATTGTCTGATGTTAAAAAGTATGTTTTTATGATGTAACCAATTTTATAGTATTTATTTGAAAGAATTAAAACAGATTCATGTCCTTGTATTATTTAGCTGGTTGAGGTTGATATGGGATTTTGAAAGTAATTAGTAATTAAAAGTAATTAAATACTTCCTAGAGAGAGTAATTAGTACAGTAATCTAATTACACTGTTGAAGAGGTAATTAGTAACTAGTAATAAATTAATTTTTTAGAGTAACTTACCCAACACTGAGGACAAACACGTCTCCCAGATGGCTAGTCATAAAGTGTTTTCAACAGACAGTCAGCCAACGGTCCGTTGATGTGATGTCTAAGGGTTAACACTAGGTGGAGACAGACAACGACTGACTAAATGCTTTTTTCCACTTCTTTTCAAATGAGGGCTTAACATATGGTAAACATTGTTGCAAGATCATATACAATATCTCTTTGTTAAAATAGTCGGTTTATCTGAAATCCACACCTTGATGAATGCTCTTCTAGCGTAATACGTCCGTGATATTCAATGATACTATTTAAATGATTAAAAGCTTTTTTAATAACTTGAGTGTTCTTGTTTCACGGATATTATTGATGTCTTGGGGGTGTAAATATTTCCTGATTTTTATTAATCCTTGAAATATCAAAGTGCAGATTCTAACTAACAGTGTTGTCTTCTTCTCAGGTCCAGCAGTGCCAGTGGGTGTGGATGTACAGGTGGAGAGTTTGGACAGCATCTCAGAAGTAGATATGGTAAGATCTGGCATTGTTATGGATTATTCAGCCATATCACATAAACAAACAAAATGTTTTGCATACATAAAATGTAGCCATTAAGTTTTTTCTTTGCAAATAATAAACTCTGCATTTATGAAACTGATACATAAATACTTTAAATTTGAAATAATGCATCATTTTTACCCATTTCTGTAATGAGAATGTGATTGTTATTCAATCGGGAGAAGATTGCATAGATTAGATATGGATCTCAGCGCCTGTGATTTAATATCCCCTGAGATGTGTCATGATATGCTTTTATTAATCATATCAGTGCCAGTGTGGATTTGTTACATAATGTGCAACGAGTCACGTAGAGGGTAATCCATGAGGTTTACCCTGTGACATCACAACAAATCAGCCAATCAGAATGTGCAGTCCATCCGGCTCGATGAAGACATCCCTCAGTTATGCCAACAGATGGGAATATTTCACAAGGATTTAAGCAGTTTGGAAATGCATGTCAACACCTTGCATACATTTTTGGTAACGTTTTATTTTGATGGTCCCTTTGAACAGTCTGTTGACTATAAGTAACTACTACCAGTCTATAATACTCTACTAACACTCTAATGACAGTTGCAATTTTTGTTTTTTACTTAATCTGCATTGGTAAAGGTGAACTAAGCGGTTTTATTCTACTAAAGGGGTCGTCGTCTGTCATGGTTGAGATCACATGATCTGAGTAATAAGACCACTGTGATTTCAGCCAGCCACAAATGAACAAAACATTACTGGGTCATTCTTTGAGATAATACTGGCTCAGTGTAAAACCATGCATGAATATTGAATATTAATGTGAATCTGGACATCTGCCCAAATTCAGCTGCAATGAAAGAGAAGTTTCTGGACATGTACTTCATAATGTTACTTCTTGATTTGAGGCTGTTAAATTATCAATGATCAAATCGTCGCTGCAAAAACCTGTTGTACACAAGCCACCTTCTACCTACCCTCTGATTGATAGTACATACTATTTTAGCAATAAAAGTACTGTTAGTGTAATTGTAAAAACGTCCACCTCCAAGTCTTTTTGCTGTGAAATCTCTACTAATTTTAAACGCGAATTAATGCAAGAATAACTTTCATAATGAACACCTACTGGACTAAAGCAATTAGGTTTACTTGATTATCCTTGAGTATCAAATATGATCATCATCTCTCAATCTTTATTGTACTGCATTGCATCATATGTTTTAAGACTACAGCGCTTTTATTGGCAGATATAGAGTGACAGCTGAAATGTATAACTCTTATGTATCTGCTATACTGTTCTCTTTGAGATATGACTCTATGCACCATAAAAGCCTGATGTATCAAAATATGAATAGTTTCTGAAAGGGGTGATCAAACAAAATTAACAATGTTTTGACGGAGCCACAATTGACATAAGAATGGCGTACTTTTAGTGTCCTAACTACACGCGACGCGATAAATTCCAGCGACAGCAACGCGACGCGACTGTGAGAAGTCACACATTCAGAACAGCGTGTATTAGTCTCTCTGTGAAAGTGCACTGTTTGCCCGCACTCGCGTTGAATATGGGTACATAATCAAATCAAGAAATAACATTATTAAAAATCAAAACATTAACAAAATATACTCATTGACTAATTTTGTTATGAAGTACAGTTGTATGTTTGCATAGAATTCATTTTGAACGCTATATTACATGCTTTCAAAATCTGAGGTAAATTATCCGTAATCGCTTGTGGCACAGTGACCTATTTTTAACAAAAAATAAATACTCATAACCAGTGTAATTTCTTCATTCTGTCAGCCGCGACGTCGCAGAAATAGGAACCGTTTCTAAATTAGAAACTTCGCGTGTCGCCGTCGCGTCTGGTTAGGACAAAAACTCTGATTAACGTGGAGAAAAGAGACCTTTTATCGCGTGTCGCGGCGTCGCGTCGCGTGTAGTTAGGATCAGTGGTGGAGGAAGTACTGAATCTCAGTATAAGTAAAAGTACAAATACCCAGATAAATATTTACTTTAGTAAAAGTAGAAGTAACACAATGACAACCATACTTAAGTAAAAAGTAAAAAGTACTTTATTTTAAATGTACTTTAAGTATTAAAAGTAAATAAGTACTTGCATAACAATTTATTATCTTAATGTCTATTTTCTAATGATTAATAAAACATTTAATTCTAACTCATTCAACCTAATAGCCCACTCCTATAATGATGTTCAATAATGATGGAAAAAAATGTCACCATTTCTGAAACAAGCTTAATTAGGCAATATACACATCATGCTTATCCTTACTATATGTTAATAACTATGTTTGGCAGTAAACGAGATTCATTTATGGTGTAATTCTGAACCTCTTGGCTTGCCATAATCCTAACCAAACCAAACATATATTACACACGGTGTGTTTCCTATGCACGTAAAAACAAATTTTCGCGTATGAGTTGCACGATAAACACACTGCGTGCGAGACGCATTTAGTGTGACCGGGTTGACATACTGTATCTATGGCAACCAAACGTCACTGGTGAGACAAACGTGCAACGAACGGACGGTCAGATTACGTGTTGGCAGGGAAAAACTGATCAGAAAATGTAACGAAAATGTAACAGAAGTTGTAGAAATGTAGTGGAGTAGAAAGTATAATAATTGCTGCAAAATGTAACGAAGTAAAAGTAAAAAGTAGGCTCTATTTATTGTACTTAAGTAAAGTAAAGATACGTGAAAAATGTACTTAAGTAAAGTAACGAAGTATTTGTACTTCGTTACATTCCACCACTGGTTAGGATACGGTGTCAGATTACTCTCCATGCTAAGCTGGGATAGGAGAAAGTATTATTGTTATCGAACTAAACAACACACAATGAGCTTGAAAAGTCAATCCATGTTGTGCTCTTCATACAGGACTTCACCATGACCCTGTACCTGAGACACTACTGGAAGGACGAGCGACTATCTTTTCCCAGTAAAACCAATAAAAGCATGACTTTTGATGGTCGATTGGTGAAAAAAATCTGGGTTCCTGACGTGTTCTTTGTCCATTCCAAACGATCCTTCATCCACGACACCACCACGGAGAACATCATGATCAGGGTGTACCCCGACGGACACGTGCTCTACAGCCTCAGGTCAGTAGTCTTCTCAAGTGCTTGGACGCCTGAACCTGATGTAGCTTTTATTCTGCCGCCACAATCCGGTTTTGAAAGTGATTTTCGATGCGTCAGGGTGACTGTAACTTCAGCGTGTAATATGGACTTCAGCCGGTTCCCGTTGGACACGCAGACCTGCACGTTAGAGCTGGAGAGCTGTGAGTGACGTACACTTCTCCCGACGTTGATGTCCAGAATCACTTCTTGAGTGTCTGCAAACATGCGTTCATCTGCTGTGTGTGTGTCCAGATGCCTACACTGATGAAGACCTGATGCTCTACTGGAAGAGTGGAGATGAATCTCTGAGCACGGATGACAAGATCTCCCTGTCTCAGTTCCTCATTCAGAAGTTTCACACCACCTCCAGACTGGCCTTCTACAGCAGCACAGGTGCACACGCTTATCTTTACAAGAGGAAAGTTGTTTTCGGTTGTCTGCTAGTGCATAACGACCTGTCCTGGTTTATTAGTTTCCCAGACATCTTGGACAAATTGTATTTGTGTTGCATGCAAATAAATGTCAAAACTGTTTATTTGGCTTCTGATTTGAATGTAGTTTTTAGGGATGTCCCGATACCACTTTTTCACTTCCGATACCGATGCCGCACCTTTGGCTTTTGCCGATACCGATATTAGTCCGATATTTTTTTTTCGTGGTCCGACGTGCCGTATACGGCCCACAGGGTGGTTTATAGGTTTAACTTTGTGAAAGACAAAACAAACACAAAAGTAAACATAATACATATCTTTGGAAAGCTGAGAAACTCGTGATTCGAACGACGTAAACCATTTTAAGATATAATCAACACAGCGGGCACAATCTGTCTCTTTGTCAGACCACCAACAGCCAAAACAAACCAACACAAACTGGAAGAAACTCACCAATTAGCCATCTGTTAGTCCACATTACAACAAAAATGGTTTGGTTTCACTGTAAAGCATCCATAGAAATCCAATTTGAAGAAGTTTTTAGTCCAAAACAATTATATATATGAATAAACATCCATGGAATGTAAATAGTAGCATTTCGCGTTAGCCGACAGCGCTATCACAACTTCGACGCACTAATGCTACGTTCACACCGGACGCGAATAGGGCGTCAGGCGCGAATGATTTCAATGTTAAGTCAATGCAAGAAAAATTCCTGCGGCGCGAATGAGGCGTGGAGCGCGGCGCGGAAGACGCGAATACGCCTCATTCGCGCGTCAAGTTGGCGCGAATTGAGCGTTGTGCATTCACGCGTTTGACGCGAATTCGCGTCTGCCGCCCGAGTTGAAAAATCTGAACTTTGGCGTGAATTCGCGCCGCGTTAACCAATCAGGAGCCTAGCTGCTTGCTCACGTGGTGAAGTGTCTGGATGCTTCAATAAATTATTTTGTTAATATGACTAAATGCATGGTGGGATTATGCACAACAAAGCAAATGTTTCATCACTTAAAACATTATTTCTATATGGAGACATGTTCATTTTGTATTGAATGTTATTCATTCCATATCTAGAAATAGTATTATGTTGTAAAGACAATCAACATATGTGCATAAATTCGTGTCTGGACGTGAGAGAGAGAAAAAAAAAATCACAGGACAGGTTAATAACTTTTGAAGGCTGGCTCTATTTATTATCAAAACAAAAATAAATGACAGCTAGATTAGATGGATGAGGGGCCGGGCGAGGGTGATCCTCGCTCAGATGCGGGACAACAGGTCATCAAACTGGGCGCGTGACAGGCGGAAGTACCGCTGACAGCGGCCGTCATCCAGCGCAGCTCCTGGAGCGAGCAAATGGTGAAACTCGCCAAACGGTTCGGCTCCGAAGGGTCCGGTGGACACAAATATACGGCGACGATGATCCCCACGCCGCTGTTCTGCTATCCAGAGTAAATACAGAGCGGTAACTCTCTTTGTTTTGGTTCGGATGATCAATCACCGAGTCCTGAGCCATTGATGAGCATATATCCAGATTTATTCATACATTCATGGTCGCGTGCTGCCACTACACGCACCAAGCTAATTGTGTGCCTCACCTGCTGCACATGCGCCCACATATCTTAGACAGGGTTGCCACTACTCCATAAAAACAACCACTATCATTACATCTTCCCCTTTTTTTTTTTTTTTTTTTTTTTTTTTTTTAATTTAGATTAAGTATAAACAGTTAAACTTGAAAAAATAAAAACATTTTGACATACAATTACACCCATCTAATGATCTCAGTCTTTTACAACCAGTCTGTCAGGACTGGATTTCAACATGTTTCAATAAGTCTTTCAGGGCATTTCCGTTCACGAACAGATCTTCTCAGCGGTATCTCAGTCTTTTCAGATTGTTCGACTACAGCAGTTAAATCTTTCAAAAGATGTTGACGATTCCTCCTTAACACAACACCACTCGAAGTTTCAATATTATAGGACCTTGGTTGAATTTGTTCAAGTACAACACCTTTCTGACTCCAGGTATTAGTCTTGTCTTTAAATCTGACCTCCTCACCGGCACAAAGCTCAGGCAAATGATGAGTTCCTCTATCATAATAGACCTTTTGCTTAGCCTTTTGTTGTTCTTTGAATTCTTTAACTTTCTCACTGCCTGCTATCACCAGAAGATCCTCAGAGATTGGTAAATTAGAACGAAGACGTCGTCCCATTAAGAGATATGCCGGCGAGTTTCCACACTCAAGAGGAGTACTACGATAAGCAAGCAATCCCATGTAAAAACTACTTCCATCATCGCTCGCCTTCTGCATCAACCTTTTCACCACTCCAACTGACTTTTCCACAAGTCCATTCGACTGGGGAAAATATGGACTTGATGTTGTATGTCTGAAGTCCCAGTCTTTCGAAAAGCTGTGGAAACTAGCATTAACAAATTGAGGACCGTTATCTGTAAAAACTTCCATCGGTACTCCATGTCTAGCAAAGATTGATTTCATACATGATATAACATTTTCTGCCGTGGTGGTGCTTAACGCACATACTTCTGGATAACATGAATAATAGTCTGTAACCAAGAGGTAATTTTTCCCCTGACATGTAAACAGGTCAGCACCTATTTTTTGGTATGGTCTTTCAGGTACCGGATGCGACATTAAGGGCTCTCTTGGATTATTGGATTGATATTTAGCACATGTCTGACACTTGGACACTTCTATTGTGATGTCCTGATTAATTCCAGGCCAATACATAACTTCACGAGCTCTTTTTTTACATTTCTCAATTCCCAGATGGCCTTCATGGATTTTGTTCAACATCTCACGTCTCAGATTTCTTGGAATCACTATTTTATTTCCTTTATACAGAATTCCATTACAGACAGACAATTCAGACCTGCAGTTCCAAAATTCATGAACTTCTGCAACACAATTTTGCTTCACATCTGGCCAGCCATTCATGACATAGAATCTCACCTGAGTGAGTGTCTGATCTTGTTCTGTCTCTTGACAGATCAGCTTCATTTTGGAATCAGCAACAGGTAAAGCTTCAATGATCATATTTACATATACTTGAATGTCCTCAGTCAGCTTTCCACTCGACGGTGTGGTTGGATCTACGGCTCTGGACAAGGTGTCTGCCACAAACATTAATTTGCCTGGTGTATAAAACACAGTTAATGCATACCGTTGCAATCTGATCATCATTCTTTGTATTCTCAATGGACAATCATTTAGAGATTTTTTGAACAGTGCAATCAGCGGTTTATGATCAGTTTCAACATCAACAGGCTGTCCTGCCACAAACTGATGAAATCTCTCACAAGCAAAAGTAATACTAAGCAACTCTTTTTCAATTTGAGCGTACCTACACTCCGCATCAGTCATTGAGCGTGAGGCATATGCAACTGGTTGCCAGGTTCCGTCATGCTCCTGGAGAAGTACTGCTCCCAATCCTGACTGTGAAGCATCAGCTGAAATTTTAATAGAACGATTGGGGTCATAAAATTTCAAAATTGGCTCTCTAGTTAAAATCAATTTCAAATATTGCCATGCAGCTTCCTGTTCATGGTTCCATTCCCATCCATTCTTTTTCTCAGTTAGCCATCTTAATGGAGCTATCTTCTCCGACAAATTAGGTATGAATTTACTCATATAGTTCAACATACCCATGAATCTTTGGACATCTTTTACACTTTGCGGCCTTGGCATATGTTCAATAGCAGAGATCTTCAGAGGATCAGGTCGCACTCCAGCACTACTAATGATGTCACCCAAAAACGTTAATTCAGTTACTCCCAATTGGCACTTTTCTCTGTTCAACTTCAAATTTGCACGCCTGGTTGCCTCCAACACCTTTCTTAACCTTGCATCATGTTCTTCTTTCGAAGCTCCCCACACAATTATATCATCCATCGATGTATCAACTCCTTCCATATGTTCATAGATCATGTGCACTGTTTTATGATACACCTCAGGAGCCGAGGCAATTCCGAAAGGAAGCCTTAAGAAACAATATCTTCCATATGGCGTATTAAATGTACACAGTTTTGAGCTGGCAGCATCCAGTTTTAACTGCCAAAATCCTGAGGATGCATCTAGCTTGCTGAAATATTTGGCATTTGCAAACTGGGCCATAATCTCTTCACGTGTAGGAAGCTTGAAATGTTCTCCTGAAACTGATGAAACTGATCATAAACCGCTGATTGCACTGTTCAAAAAATCTCTAGGATCAAGACAAACCCGAAGTTTTCCATTCTTTTTGTCCACAATCACCAACGAACTAACCCAATCTGTGGGATGATCAATTTTCTGTATCACTCCTAAACTCTCCATTTTATCCAGCTCTTCTTTTAACTGTCTCTGAAGTGCAAATGGTACCTTTCGACATGGATGTATCACTGGAGGTACAGTTTCATCAATCTGAATGGTGTGCTCCCCTGACAAACAGCCTAAGCCTTTAAATACATCCCCATACTCCGTTAAGATCGAGCCGTACTCGGGTTCAGACACTTTTGATTCTGCTACCATCAGCACTCTTTTCACCAGATGCAGCCTCTCACAAGCAGACAAACCCAAGATAGCTTGAAAATCCTTTGGCACCACTACAAATGCCAAACTATGTTCTTTATCCTTATATCGCACTTTGGCAACACATTTTCCTTTCACTGGTATGTCCGCTCCAGAGTATCCAGTTACCTTCAACTTAGCAACATGCAACTTTGGTCTAGGTTTTAGCTTGTTAAATTCAGTTTCAGAAAGGAGATTAACTTGGGCTCCAGTGTCAAGCTTAAACGCAACTGTACTGTTGTTTATTTGCAGTTGTACGATCCACTCTTTATGTTCTTCTCCACCTTCTGCTACTGCATCCACATAGAATTCTTCTACTTCACACTCAGTCACAGTATTCACTTGGCTTGATGTTCGTTTACTCTTACAACAGCGTGCATAATGATTAACTTTACCAC